AGACCTGGGTTTGATTCCCCACATGGGTACAATGTGTGAAGCCCATTTCTGGTGTCCCCCAAAGTGATATTTCTGAAATATTGCTAATAGTGGCGTAAAACTAAACTCACTCACTCCGACAGCATGGATTGTTGCTCAGCATATCAATCCCTGGTTTGCTTTGTCCGGGCTGGAACAATTACTGGTCGTGTCATTGAACTTGATTATTGCTGAGTGGTCTGTTAACAAACAAAACAATAGACATTCAGTCAGTACGTCCCCTGATGCTGTGAGTGTACCAGCCAGTAGTACCTCAGGATATTCTTGCTACATAATTCCAATGTCAGGAAGCCAGCAGGTTGGAATGAGGTGAGCGCCACTGAGAGACACATGTGTGTAATAATGATGTAATCCCATGCAGATAACTCTCAGCAACGGCATGCCACGGGGTGCTGGCATTTTATGTTTTCTGCAGTCATACAAGTTCTTCCTCATGTGTGGCACAAAGTTGATAGGTTATATCACCCACTGGGATATATAGTCTTGTTATACCATGTAGGATACCATTGTGTTACCAACACCTCTCAATTGTGTTAGCTCTATGTGATAGGTTATATCACCCACTGGGATATATAGTCTTGTTATACCATGTAGGATACCATTGTGTTACCAACACCTCTCAATTGGGTTAGCTCTATGTGATAGGTTATATCACCCACTGGGATATATAGTCTTGTTATACCATGTAGGATACCATTGTGTTACCAACACCTCTCAATTGTGTTAGCTCTATGTGATAGGTTATATCACCCACTTGGATATATAGTCTTGTTATACCATGTAGGATACCATTGTGTTACCAACACCTCTCAATTGTGTTAGTTCTATGTGATAGGTTATATCACCCACTGGGATATATAGTCTTGTTATACCATGTAGGATACCATTGTTTTAGCAACACCTCTCAATTGTGTTAGCTTTATGTGATAGGTTATATCACCCACTGGGATATATAGTCTTGTTATACCATGTAGGATACCATTGTTAACAACACTATCACCCACTGGGATATATAGTCTTGTTATACCATGTAGGATACCATTGTGTTACCAACACCTCTCAATTGTGTTAGCTCTATGTGATAGGTTATATCACCCACTGGGATATATAGTCTTGTTATACCATGTAGGATACCATTGTGTTACCAACACCTCTCAATTGAGTTAGCTCTATGTGATAGGTTATATCACCCACTGGGATATATAGTCTTGTTATACCATGTAGGATACCATTGTGTTACCAACACCTCTCAATTGTGTTAGCTCTATGTGATAGGTTATATCACCCACTGGGATATATAGTCTTGTTATACCATGTAGGATACCATTGTTACCAACACCTCTCAATTGTGTTAGCTCTATGTGATAGGTTATATCACCCACTGGGATATATAGTCTTGTTATACCATGTAGGATACCATTGTGTTACCAACACCTCTCAATTGTGTTAGCTCTATGTGATAGGTTATATCACCCACTGGGATATATAGTCTTGTTATACCATGTAGGATACCATTGTGTTACCAACACCTCTCAATTGTGTTAGCTCTATGTGATAGGTTATATCACCCACTGGGATATATAGTCTTGTTATACCATGTAGGATACCATTGTGTTACCAACACCTCTCAATTGAGTTAGCTCTATGTGATAGGTTATATCACCCACTGGGATATATAGTCTTGTTATACCATGTAGGATACCATTGTGTTAGCAACACCTCTCAATTGTGTTAGCTTTATGTGATAGGTTATATCACCCACTGGGATATATAGTCTTGTTATACCATGTAGGATACCATTGTGTTACCAACACCTCTCAATTGTGTTAGCTCTATCTGATAGGTTATATCACCCACTGGGATATATAGTCTTGTTATACCATGTAGGATACCATTGTGTTAACAACACCTCTCAATTGAGTTAGCTCTATCTGATAGGTTATATCACCCACTGGGATATATAGTCTTGTTATACCATGTAGGATACCATTGTGTTACCAACACCTCTCAATTGAGTTAGCTCTATGTGATAGGTTATATCACCCACTGGGATATATAGTCTTGTTATACCATGTAGGATACCATTGTGTTACCAACACCTCTCAATTGTGTTAGCTCTATGTGATAGGTTATATCACCCACTGGGATATATAGTCTTGTTATACCATGTAGGATACCATTGTGTTACCAACACCTCTCAATTGTGTTAGCTCTATGTGATAGGTTATATCACCCACTGGGATATATAGTCTTGTTATACAATAGTGGATACCATTGCGTTACTAGTCTGTCTCACGGTCCCTGAACCACATTATTTTCCCTACTGCCTAGCCCTTTCTGCAATACTAAAGCCCTAAATGAAGCAAGTCTAGATTTCCCCAAGTTCAGTATCTCCAAACTCACTGGGGCTCCTTTTCAATTTAAATGTTTAGTTTAAATGATAGTTTATTTGTTACTATCAAAATTTTTTGTATTCAGGGAGTAAGCCTTAGTCTACTATGTGTTGCCAACACATCTCAAGCCTAATGCTTCGAAGGTCCGGGTTAGACTGAACCTTCAGTAACCCATGCTTGTCGTAAGAGGCGACTAATGGGAATCAGGTGGTCAGGCTAGCTGACTTGGTTGACACATGTCATTGGTTCCCAATTGTGCAGATAGATGTTCATGGTGTTGATCACTGGATTGTCTGGTCCAGACTCAATTATTTACAGACCGCCGCCATATAGCTGGAATATTGCTGAGTGTGGCGTAAAACTAAACTCACTCACTCACTCCTCATGCTTCGATATTTCTAAACTATTACTAATCATGCTTAAAACTATACTCCAGACAATTTCACATTAATGGATTCCCTCTAAAAATTACATTGAGCAGTTTATATCGATAAGAATTTATAGGTTTTTAAAAATTTTACCAGTCTGATATACAATTGCAACATGCTTCAAAATTCCAGCAGAAGAGTGAAATGTTTAAAAGTTTATAAAACCTTGTCCCATGTGGAGTGCTGTGACTCAAGGTGGTATATATTGGTGGCACACCACAGCTGTGTTCACTGGGCAACTAGTAACACTTGTGGTGGTCTGGGCCGCCGAGCTTGACAGTGTCTTTCAGTTAAGGATCCTGTCAAGTAAGAAGCCTCATAACTCTTTACTGTACATATGAGTCATCCGAGTGTAAATACTGGGAGGTACAGTCACAACTTAAGCACTACAGGTATGCCCTCTTTCAGCGTGGAACTTCACAAGTCACTTCAAGTCCCAAATCAAATTGAGAGGGCTTAGCTGTAATCTACAAACCTGCTGCACTCCTCGAAAAAAATTCAAGTACAAGTTTTCGATAAATTTTTGAGTTTGCATCGAAATTAAACACTTAGAGTGCTTCAGAGTTAAATATGGCTTTGGATTATTAAGCATTGTTGGAATAAGTAAAAAATATGTAAAACTGATTTGTATCAGATTTGAACCATGAATTGCCTGAAGAACTTGAATCAGGATTAAATATGTTTGTGGATTAATGTTTTGTCCTGTTAATTGAGGTTTATTGTTTAATGGTGCTTTAATGACATTTTGTATGATATTTCATGTTAAGTTGATCATTACTGTTTGCTTTAACAAGTGTCATGTTATAGAAGTGGTGCTGAAAACAATGTCATATGATTGTGGTTTGCACATACCTCATCCTCAAAGAGTAGGAGAGGCTAGTTTGGAATTTCTATTGAGACATTGTGATATCTTGTTTTAAATTTATCAAAATATCAGGGGGTGGTGGGGTAGCCTAGTGGTTAAAGCGTTGGCTCGTCACGCCAAAGACCCGGGTTCGATTCCCCACATGGGCACAATATGTGAAGCCCATTTCTGGTGTCCCCCGCCGTGATATTGCTGGAATATTGCTAAAAGCGGCGTAAAACTAAACTCAGGCAGTCAGTCAGTCAGTCAAAATATCAGATGTGTAGGATTCTGTAGATACTTGTTGAAGTTGGAGGTTTTCCTGGAGACTATAAACTGGTGATTCCTAGTTGTGATCATGAGCACCTGAGACTCCTTGTAGCTATCACACATGACAAGTATTTGTATATATCTGTCCTTGTGACCACCATTCTAGCTTTGCATCTACACCAGGGTCACTTATTATAGCACTGTGCGAGTCATTCGGGGGCTGGTCACAGTTTTGTTCGGTGGATTTTATGCTGCTTTTAGCACTATTCCACACTGAATATGGAAGATATAGACTTCTTATGCAGTAAACTATGTTTGTAATGAACATGCATATTATGATATAAAACAATTTTTTATGGATAACAACTTGTTTATTTCTTAAGTGCGACAGTTTCGATACAGATTGTTGTGACAACGGTACAAGAATTTGTATCGAAACGTCGCACTCATGAAATAAAGAAGTTGTTATCCATAAAAAATTGTTCTATATTGTACGTCTCAACTTCTAAAATGCCACTGAAACAAGTCATGCATATTATGAGCTGATGCATGTAACAAACTCTTTGGTATTTTTTGTCCCCTACCACTTGCTCTAGAATTTACTCAAAATGCCTATAGCAATGGTCGTAATGAACTAAAGTGAGTGGTCCCGCTGAGTTTGTTGTTAATTTAATGAATTTTACACATATCAGGAATTGAATGCTGGTTGACAAGGCCACGATTTGGTCAGGGAGTAACACCATCACTCCGAACTGATAATATAATATAATATATACATATTTGAACATTTATAGCTTATTGGATAGAGATGCAACTTAATTTTATTGCTGGTGGTAGCATATTGACTGTGGGTAACAAAATGACTCGTTCTAGTGCCAAGTTGCTTCCATACAGTGACGAGCCAAAGCGATAGCAAGATGTCATAACCTTGACACTGACACTGGTAGACATGACACTGGTGAATGCTGGGAAGTTATCGACATGTCCAACATGATAATGTCTTAATATTCTGTCTATTAATTTCAGGCAATTTACAAGTTTTAATGGAGACAGCTACCCGTACTACCCGTGTGAGACAGTTCCTGCTGATTCCTCGTACAGCCTGCGGACTCTGTACCCCCCAACCCCTCCTCCGCCGCCACCACCCTCACACCCTAGTCACGACCAACATCCCGCTATACCCAGCCATCCTACCGAGCTCCCATCGCCCGACATCCAGAACGCACCCTTAAATCTCTCACTCTCAAGTGGAGGCTCCCCTCCACCTCATCGTCCACAACTACGTCCGTCGGTTATCACATGTGCGGCGACGACGTCATCACCAGGCAGTAGTTCCTCACAGCGGTATGGGTGTTCGAGCCCGGAGGAGCGCAATCACCGCCATCAAATGTACCTGCGGCAGGTAAGACGAATTCAAGGGACAGCTTTATAGGGGGGATGTCTTAGTTATATCATGTTCATGAAGGACACTTCAAAGTCATATTTTTGTGGTTGTGCACTGATAGAACTGTCCAAGGATAGATTTAGGGCTTGTGCATTGATAAGTCATTACACTGAATTTTGGTGGGGTTGTGTTTGTCAACATTTTTAAAGATCAATTTTGGGGTTGTGCACAGATGGAGCAGTTCTGGTCCAGGGCCCCATTCCTCAAAGCGATCGTAACCCTAAGACGATCGTAACTCCCATACTTTAACATGGAGTTACGACAGTCGTAGAGGCGCTGCGATCGCTCTGAGGAACATGGCCCTGATTTTTAGGTTGTGTACTGATAAGAGTCAGTTAAAGGATTGATTTGGGAGTTATGCACTGATAGAAGTTTTAGTACTGATTTTGGGTTGTGAACTGAAAGGAGTTAAAGGATTGTGAACTGATAGGGCAGTTCTTGTACTGAGTTTGGGTTGTGCACTGAAAGGATTTAAAGGATTGTGCACTGATAGAACAGTTCTTGTACTGAGTTTGGGTTGTGCACTGAAAGGATTTAAAGGATTGTGCACTGATAGAACAGTTCTTGTACTGAGTTTGGGTTGTGCACTGAAAGGATTTAAAGGATTGTGAACTGATAGGGCAGTTCTTGTACTGATTTCAGAGTTGTCACTGAGAGGAGTCAGTTAAAGGATTGGTTTGGGGGTTGTGAAATGGTAGGAGTTGGTTCAAGTTATCGATTTGTTGGTTGTGAAATGACAACGGTTCAAAGATTAATGTTTAGAATTGGGCACCAAGATGTCAGTAGTTGCTCTACCAGGTGGGCCACTGCCAAAACAGGTTACAGTGGGACTGATGTTTCGAGACTTCCCGTTCTGGGAGGGCCCCGAGCTAATTGTGTGTGAAATGTGCGGTTAGTATTGGAGTGTTTGTCCTGGAGGAATCAACACCATGGTTTGACTTTGAGAAGGTATAACAGACGTAAACAGTTTCATAAGAAACAGGCTGCCTGAAAGTTTGTGGATGTTTATGAGTAGCTTATTCTGCTATTGAGGCTGCACACATATAGAGGTTGGCCTTTTTGTGCATTTGCCTCTGATTCATAACATTTATTGAGCTCAATGACGTCAACTCCTTTCTGGAAATATCATCACTTTTTCTTTCGCTAAAATAAATAGAAGTAAACAGAAAAATAGAACTAGCTAGAAATGAAAGGCAAACAAGCAAGTTCATATATACATGTTTTAAATAGATATAGTGCTACTATCAAAGTGTTTCGCTGGAAGCCAAAATGCTGTAGGTTTGAGTGAAGCTTGGCAAGTGATAATGAAAGGCCATATATGTCTGATCAGTGAAATTATCTGTAGAGAAGAGGACACAGACAGTTAGATCAAGCAGTTGATACTCACAGAAAATATGTTAAGTGTTTGAAACTTATGCAAGTGAAAAGGGCAGGAGATATCTCTTAGACACAACAGGTGCTTCTGACAATTCAACAGCCTTTTGATAACTACATATGAAATATTCATGTATGACTTTCATGTGTTTGTCTTAAAAAAACATGTAATTCTGTGGAAAGAATTCATTAGCCTCATTGAATGCAGAACAACTGAGATGGTATTTGAAAGAAGGTGGCCCAGTTGTCTGGGTTGCCACAGTTAGCTGTTATCATGGGTTTGAATCCCAAATTTTCCGTAATTGCTGAATTATTTAATTTGTAAAATTAATGGTAGGGCTAGAAATTCCATGCAGAACAACTGGGATGGTATTTGAAAGAAGGTGGCCCAGTGGTCTGGGTTGCCACAGTTAGCTGTGATCATGGGTTTGAATCCCAAATTTGCCGGCATCATGATTTTGATGTTTATATCGGCTCAGTACCTGTGCTCATGGGTTTAACTTAACTGGTACCAACTGCATGACTTCCGGCTTTCTTTCCCACATCAGGCTGACACACAATAACTGAAAAACTGTTTGAAGTTGTGTTTGAACCCACCTCACTAACTCATTCTTCATATGGTGTAAAAGGTTTCTGATTAACTTCAGTATTTTTTGGGATGAGTGAATTATCTTCTTATCTTGTTGTACATGGTACCTTCTAATGATCCATTGTGTCAACTGGGAACTTCAGTGCATTGTGTGGTACCTTGAAATCATGCATTGTGTTAACTGGGAAACTTCAGTGCATTGTGTGGTACCTTGAGATGATGCATTGTGTTAACTGTGTTTAATCATATTTCAATCTGTTGTTGCAGTAGTGACTGACCCGCCATTGAGGAGCACTTCCGGAGATCCTTAGGCCACAACTACAAAGATTCTATCCAGACCAAAACCACAACCACAACGGTCACTGCTGCCACTGCAGTCCACGCTAATGTCTCCATCACAGGTGAGTGCAACAGCAGCAGCAGCAGCAGCAGGAGACAGCAGAATGTATAATAATAATGAGAATATTAATCACGCGCCTTTTCCAGGCTAGATATCTGCTCAAAGCGCACTATCTAATCATTATTACCCCGGAAACTCCAAGCTGAATGTTAGGCGCTAGAAGGTTAATAGTATCACGATTTACTTCACTGGGTACCCATTTACTACTGGGTGAACAGAGACAATTTTTAACAAACTCACTTGCCTAAGGTGAGACCACATCTGCTTCATTGTGGAGCAGGACTGAAGTCCTAGAAACTCTCAAGAGTCAAGCTGTCATACATGGTCACCCATCAAAGGACTCTCCACGCCCAACGTTGCTTAACTTCAACTAATTTGTGACAGTGGGATGCATTCAGAAATTCAGACATTTTATGGGTGATATGAAATTCTAAAAAGTACAATCACTCGGTCATTACAGGGAGGAAACTTGATTAAAGTCTACAAGTCTGAGTTGTGGTAGTATGCAGCAAAGGTTTTGAAGTTCTACAAAAGCCCTTTGGATTCCTTTAACATCAAGAAATGGGTCAGGGAGAGTGGGCTTGTCATCATTTGTGCCAGGGGTGATAGGCTATGCTTTCAGCCAATTATACGATTACTGAAGAAGAATTGGGCAAATCACAAAATGCAAGTCCTATATCAAACCAGCTGTATTCTCATATACTTCTGTAGGCATTGTAGCCTATTTTTATTCCAAGAATTGTTTCAAATTCTGCAGCCATTTTTAAATTGTTGACCATTGTGTTCCATAATTTTGCCAGAATGTTAGAAAGTCATTGCTGAATATTGAAGTATCCTAACCTAGTAGTTTTAGGAGAAATGAGAAAAAGTTTTAAAATACATGACAAAGAGAAAAATCATGATTACTTTAAAAACTGAAACTTGATCAAACATTTATCTAATTATTTTCAGGCTCAGTTGACGATCACTTTGCCAAGTCGCTTGGAGACACAACATGGACGGCCATAAAGGCCAAGTCAGACCCAGTCAAGGATATGTTTGCTGGGTCTGTCGACGACCACTTCGCTAAGGCATTAGGCGACACATGGTTAAGAATAAAAGCCGAGAAAGAAAGCAACTGCCATGGATCATCTTGTTCCTCGCCATCTGGGTCGCCCCCTCATGCCTCCATAGTGACCACATAGATCTGTTCAAGTGGTTCTAGTGCAAGGGAGGTAACTCCAAAAACTCTCAACTCCTTGCAGCTGTGCCATGTAAGGGAGGTAACTCTGTGCCATGTGTTGGATGGCCACCTATCAAACCAAAGAGGCAGGGATATGCCATGACACTCTCTGTGGTATAACACACACTGTGCTTACAAGTGCCATTGATTGCAAGCTTCTATACCAATGTGTTGCCTTGTCACTTGGCACTGTGAAGCCCACGGTTCACAAGCAAGACATTGACGATGTGGTCGATGTTTACAAATTTGAAATGGCAATCAATGTGTACATATTGAAGAAGATATTGTATGTATGTTACGTTTATGATGGATTTGATGAGATTTCCATGTCGTGAGATGAAGGTGCCGAACCACCACTATTTATGAAGGAAAACGCTACAAACTGATATAAATCAGCCTTGTTACATGTTTGTGTCTCAGTCAGCTGCAGAAGTTGACGTCCATTAATTATAAAAACATATTTAAATGTTATGTATGAAGAATGGATAAATATAACTTTCACATAATACATTCATATATTTGCCTTTTGTTACAATGATTTATTGTATTGAATAATTGGTGGAAAAATTGGCCATATGTGTCCAAGACTAGGTTCAATATCCTGTTTCTGACAGGCATTTCATGACACTTCTGATGTTATCCTCCGTGGAAATGTCCTGAACATTACCTCGGTGGGCCAGGGAAGGAGATATAATAGGGCATAAGACAGTTATCCCATGGCTAAATGTGACATACCTGTTGTTACTGAAGGCTGAGACAACTACCAGTCACGTTCAGTCATACACAGGAACACTTCACTCATGTGCCATCATGTTTTGTCATCTGATCATTTTAACTATGGTTGACTGGGCTCCAGACCATGAACCTCTTCATTGGTGTATAGCTGGGGTTATAACACTGTCAGTGATGGAGTTATGATACTGTCAGTGATGGAGTTATAACACTGTTGATGGCTGTGTGATAACACTGTTTATGATGGTGTTATGAGGCTGTCAGTGATGGAGTTATAACACTGTCAGTGATGGAGTTATAACACTGTTGATGGCTGTGTGATAACACTGTTAATGATGGTGTTATGACACTGTCGATGGTGTTATGTTACTGTAACTGATGGTGTTATCACACTGTCGATGGTGTTATGTCACTGTTAATGATGGTGTTATGTCACTGTTAATGATGGTGTTATGTCACTGTCAACGATGGTGTTATGTCACTGTCGAATATGGTGTTATGACACTGTTAATCATGACACTGTTATTTATAGTGTTGTGACACTGTCAGGGATGGGGTTAAGACATTGTCCGAAAACTTCCTCATCAACCTCACTGTCAAGATCACAGGACAAAAAATGTGCAATTTACAACTGACACCTCAGCTCATTGGAAATATTTCCTCAAATCGTGTATATATGTCTTCGTTATGGATAGATATATTTTCACAGACTAATAATAGCAGTTACTTAGTCTGATCAAAGGGAAAAACAACCTGTTTATGACGATTACAGCCATACAACCTGACAACTGTTTGTCTAAAACTAATTAAGATTATTTCCACCTCCAGGTATAGGCAGCAGATATTACTCTTTGTTGTTTTAGAACTGTGAAACTATATTCACAACAACTGACTTTGTAAACCCATGACCATGGAATTTAGCATCCTTCTGCTTCTGAACTCGTCGTAATACTGACTTGTTTGTTTATGATCAGCTACAAAGGGAGGGGTTGATTCGGGACAGCTTGGAAAGGTGGAGTTAACTGGGAACAGCTGGGTAGGGTGGAGTTAACTGGAAACAGCTGGGTAGGGTGGAGTTAACTGAGAACAGCTGGGAGGGGGGAGTTAACTGGGAACAGCTGGGTGGGGTTGATTCGGGACAGCTTGGAGAGGTGGAGTTAACTGGGAACAGCTGGGTAGGGTGGAGTTAACTGGGAATAGCTGGGTAGGGTGGAGTTAACTGGAAACAGCTGGATAGGTTGGAGTTAACTGGAAACAGCTGGGAGGGTGGAGTTAACTGGGAACAGCTGGGAGGGGGGAGTTAACTGGGAACAGCTGGGTAGGGTGGAGTTAACTGGGAACAGCTGGGAGGGGGGAGTTAACTGGGAACAGCTGGGTAGGGTGGAGTTAACTGAGAACAGCTGGGAGGGTGGAGTTAACTGGGAACAGCTGGGTAGGGTGGAGTTAACTGGGAACAGCTTGGTAGGGTGGAGTTAACTGGAAACAGCTGGGTAGGGTGGAGTTAACTGGGAACAGCTGGGTAGGGTGGAGTTAACTGGAAACAGCTGGGTAGGGTGGAGTTAACTGGGAACAGCTGGGTAGGGTGGAGTTAACTGGAAACAGCTGGGAGGGTGGAGTTAACTGGGAACAGCTGGGTAGGGTGGAGTTAACTGGAAACAGTTGGGAGGGGGGAGTTAACTGGGAACAGCTGGGTAGGGTGGAGTTAACTGAGAACAGCTTGGAGAGGTGGAGTTAACTGGGAACAGCTGGGTAGGGTGGAGTTAACTGGAAACAGCTGGGTAGGGTGGAGTTAACTGAGAACAGCTGGGAGGGTGGAGTTAACTGGGAACAGCTGGGAGGGTGGAGTTAACTGGGAACAGCTGGGTAGGGTGGAGTTAACTGGAAACAGCTGGGTAGGGTGGAGTTAACTGAGAACAGCTGGGAGGGTGGAGTTAACTGGGAACAGCTGGGAGGGTGGAGTTAACTGGGAACAGCTGGGTAGGGTGGAGTTAACTGGAAACAGCTGGGTAGGGTGGAGTTAACTGAGAACAGCTGGGAGGGTGGAGTTAACTGGGAACAGCTGGGAGGGTGGAGTTAACTGGGAACAGCTGAGAAGGGTAGAGTTAACTGGGAACAGCTGGGAGGGTGGAGTTAACTGGGAACAGCTGGGAGGGGAGTTAACTGGGAACAGCTGGGTGGGTGGAGTTAACTGGGAACAGCTGGGAGGGGGAGTTAACTGGGAACAGCTGGGAGGGAGTTAACTGAGAAGAGCTGGGTAGGGGGAGTTAACTGGGAACAGCATGGAGGGGGAGTTAACTGGGAACAGTTGAGGGGGAGTTAACTGGGAACAGCTGGGAGGGGGAGTTAACTGGGAACAGCTGGGTAGGGGAGTTAACTGGGAACAGCTGGGAGGGGGAGTTAACTGGGAACAGCTGGGAGGGTGGAGTTAACTGGGAACAGCTGGGAGGGTGGAGTTAACTGGGAACAGCTGGGAGGGGAGTTAACTGAGAAGAGCTGGGTAGGGGAGTTAACTGGGAACAGCATGGAGGGGAGTTAACTGGGAACAGTTGAGGGGAGTTAACTGGGAACAGCTGGGAGGGGGGAGTTAACTGGGAACAGCTGGGTAGAGGGAGTTAACTGGGAACAGCTGGGAGGGGGAGTTAACTGGGAACAGCTGGGAGGGTGGAGTTAACTGGGAACATTTGGGAGGGGAGTTAACTGGGAACAGCGTGGAGGGGAGTTAACTGTGAACAGTTGGGAGGGGAGTTAACTGAGAAGAGCTGGGTAGGGGGGAGTTAACTGGGAATAGCGTGGAGGGGGGAGTTAACTGTGAACAGTTGGGAGGGGGGAGTTAACTGCAAACAGGTTGAAGGACGGAGTTAACTGAGAACAGCTGAGAGGGGTGAAGTTACCTGGCAACAGCTAAGAGGGATGGTGTTAACAGGGTTCAGCTTGGAGGGGTGAAGTTACCTGGCAACAACTAAGAGGGATGGTGTTAACAGAGTTCAGCTTGGAGGGGTGAAGTTACCTGGCAACAGCTAAGAGGGATGGTGTTAACAGGGTTCAGCTTGGAGGGTGAAGTTACCTGGCAACAGCTAAGAGGGATGGTGTTAACAGGGTTCAGCTTGGAGGGGTGAAGTTACCTGGCAACAGCTAAGAGGGATGGTGTTAACAGGGTTCAGCTTGGAGGGGTGAAGTTACCTGGCAACAGCTAAGAGGGATGGTGTTAACAGGGTTCAGCTTGGAGGGGTGAAGTTACCTGGCAACAGCTAAGAGGGATGGTGTTAACAGGGTTCAGCTTGGAGGGATGGTGTTAACTGAGAACAACTAAGAGGGATGGTGTTAACAGGGTTCAGCTTGGAGGGATGGTGTTAACAGGGTTCAGCTTGGAGGGATGGTGTTAACTGAGAACAACTAAGAGGGATGGTGTTAACAGGGTTCAGCTAGGAGGGATGGTGTTAACAGGGTTCAGCTTGGAGGGATGGTGTTAACTGAGAACAACTAAGAGGATGGTGTTAGAGGGATGGTGTTAACAGGGTTCAGCTTGGAGGGATGGTGTTAACAACTTGGAGGGATGGTGTTAACAGGGTTCAGCTTGGAGGGATGGTGTTAACTGAGAACAGCTGAGAGGGATGGTGTTAACAGGGTTCAGCTAAGCAGAATTGATGGGGACAACAAGGATGTGTGTGGTTAACCGAGAGAGCCATGAGGAACAGAGTTAACATGAAACAGGTAGGACTGGAATGTCAAATTCAAATACAAGACGAATATACTTCACAACTTTTGATAGAGATATCTATGCTGTTGTCAATCCTTTAGAAACAGCTGCTTACAGAAATATTAAACTGAAAATGAAGCTGAGGCCAGACTAATTTTATTTCTTGTTTTACAGATTTTTTGTCCTCAGAAAACCTAAAGACAGAAGGGAAATAGAAAATGTAAAGATCCCCAATCAAAGTAATATTCCTTGTAAATACGGAAAGTATTTTACTTTTGGCAAATTATGAAGTGTATATGGGGCAAAAAAAGCAATCTAAAAACATTTTCTAGTAAGTTTACATTTTTGGCCAATAAAATCATTAGGATTGTATTTTTGAGTGGGGAAAAGTCATTTTAAGTTTTTTTCTTATTCTTGAAAAAATACGTATGGTGGATCTGTAAAACAAGAAATAAAATTGGTCTGGCCTGAAGATGTGTCAGTGCAATTTGGATGACATCTCCCAGCAACATTCAGAAATAACAGAACTATCTGAAATAACAGAACTATCCCTATCAACAGTTGAGTGATATAGATACTTTGAATTGAAAATAATGAATTAAAAGTTTTTGCAGTCTTTAATTAATAGCATGGGTAGCTGTTGTGTTAGGTGTGGCTTGTTTTCATATTGTTACAGTGTTATACATGTATTTTGTGTGAGCTGGACAAGTTGTTAATCTGAGATAACACCCTGGGTTGAGATATATAACGTAGCAATATGTACCAATTGAACAAAGGTGTCAGCCTACCTGTTGTCTGTCGTCACACAGTGTTTAGCACATATGTCGGTTAGGAAAATATTCAGACAATCGCAATGTTGGGGTTTCTTCAAAGAAGAAATCTTCCATGTCTTCACAAGCAATACAGTAATCAAATTTGGTCATTTAATTGATGTAGCTTCCATATTTGAGCGGTATTATCATGCATGCTGTTCCACAAAGACATCTTAGCGCTAAGCCGATCGTAAGTCATAACTTAAACACTGACTTGGTGGAACTTGTATTGCTTTCTAGAGAAGGTGTCTGTTTAAAGTTAGGCTGTTTTTG